GGAGCTGCAGCCTGCAGGGCCGAGGCGTGCTGAGCCGAGCCAAGCCGAGCCGAGCCGCTGTCATCTCCCGTGCTGCTAACGATGTCCATCTACCTGCAGGACTGAAGCCTGGACAGCGCCACATCCCGAGACCAACCCGATCTCCCCCTGTACCTCTTTCAGGTGAGAGACACACACCCACTTTAAAGTGAGCGACTGTGTAGACTCTGTTTTAATTGTTGGTACAGGTCGGTCCGGATTTCATCTAGACTGTGACCTAACTGTGGGCAACGGGTCGGGTCCGATAGGGGGATGTGTGGGGGCGGGTTTTCAAAACTGGACCCGTGCAGGGACACTTACCTGCTCTCCTGGGTCACAGACAGGTGAGCTCCTGTCAGGCCTCAGGACCCACAGGTGACGGGACAGTGCGACGCGGGCCCTGATGAGGACAGCACACAACTGTTTGTTTGTCTAAATCAAACAGCGTCAATTAGGAATGCAACCGCATGAATGTGTTCATTGTAGAGTTGCAACCATTAGGCAGGTTAGTCAGAAGAAGGTGAACCAGCAGCTATTTTGATCATTTTTCAAGCGAAAGTACTGGCTATTTGATCAATCTGTGTCTAAAGATAATAATAAACTGACTCTCTCTGGGGTTTGGAAAAAGACAGACAATAGAAGGCGTCACCTGGGACCCTGAGAAGCTATGTCAGACGGTTTTCACTGGTGTCAGATGTTTTATAGACTAGTTTAAAATAATTAGCAGATTGATCAATAATGAGAATAATCATTAGCTGCAGCCTTATGATCATGTGTGTTAGCCTCTGATTGGTGCACAGCAGAGGAATTCACAGGTTCAAGATACCTGATTTGGATTCAGTCCTGAGCTGCATGTTTTCTGCATGATGATGGTGATGATGATGATGATGACAGTCCACCACGTGAACATAATTTGGACCCAACCTGACTTGTGTCTCAGATACTAGGAAGCAGATGGACCTGTAAGGACCTCGAATGCAGGTGGGGCTAGATTAACTAGATCTGGACTAAGAGGGGACACCGTGGACCCAAGGAGGAAACCATCCTTTGGCCAGACAGTATTTACAATAAGAGCCTCCCAGTTCTGGAACAGCCTCCGTTAAATGTCCGACACAGTGATTCTTACCGCTCTTTCACACATGAGCTTCAGACTTGGCTGAGCAGCAACCAGACCTCCCTGACACTTAGTCCTGGTTTGCCCTGTCTGTTGTAGCTCGCTTGACTCATGTCTGTTTGTTATTACACCCTGTTGTTTATCAAGGCTGGATGTTGTTTTAGTCACCAGAGTTGATTGTTTAGCATCGTTCTGTATCAGTTGTTTGTTTATTGTAGGCTTTTTTGTAATGCTTGTCTTAGCATTTTAGCTCTTATGTTTTAGGTCGTGTTTTCTTTGTCCTGATTCTTATATGCCGTGTTTTGTTTTGGTGGTTGTTTAACACGCGGCCTAGGGACAGTGGTTGAAAATTGGCCTCCTGGCTAACACTGGCAAATTTACAGCAATGTTGATTAATGTGCAACGTCCCAGAAATAAAAGGTAAAATAAAATAAACCCAGGTTTAAGTACTGAACACTGACAGGTAGGGCTGGTGATTCTTTTCAGAAGCATTTTTGTTAAATTTTTTGAAGTTCTCCCTTTATCCCGATGGCAATGAGTGCATTAAATGCACTGACAACATAAAGAAAAAACTCATCTGTGGCAGCAGCAGGGCTGAAAGAGCCGGGCCAGTAATTTTACTTATCCCAGGTTAACTCATTGGAGGGCCTATCTCCCTGTCAGCCTACTTCCTACTGGCACAGACTGTGCCCGTGCATGAGCCAAGAGTCTCCTACAAGGAGTTGCAGGCAGATGTGTCTCCGCTCTGTTTTTATAGCTAAAGTTATGGCTGACAAGGTTCCCACAGCAGCAAGGAGGGTGTACTTTCTTTTTAGCATGACTGTATAAAACTTGTAAATATATGTTTAAATAAACTGAAAAAAGAGCTCTGTGGCCACACCCTGAGTCAGTGATGTCACTGCAGGTGTCTCACCTTTGACAACTGATGACTTCCCTGGCCAGAAACAGTGCTGATCACCAATCAGACTGGTCAGATCCTGATCAGGCCTTGGTCTTCTTCTGGTCTGGCACTAATTGTGTCCTGTCATTGCAGTGTCCCTGCAGGTTGCAGCATGGAGCGCTCCGGCAGCATCCAACTGGACATCCCGGACTTCAGTAACTCAGTTCTCTCCCACCTGAATCAGCTGCGTGTCCAGGGCCGCCTCTGTGATATTGTGGTCAATGTTCAGGGCCAGAGCTTCCGTGCCCACAAAGTGGTCCTCGCCGCCAGCTCGCCATACTTCCGGGACCACATGTCTCTGGGTCAGATGAGCACTGTGTCGCTGACAGTAATCCGAAACCCATCTGTGTTTGAGCAGCTACTGTCCTTCTGCTACACGGGTCGCCTCTGCCTGCAGCTTGCCGACATCATTAGTTACCTGACGGCTGCCAGTTTCCTGCAGATGCAGCACATCATTGACCGCTGCACCCAGATCCTGGAGGGCATCCACCTGAAGATCAGCTTGGCTGACCTGGATGAGGAACCTAGGGAGGAGGCGGCACGCAGCTCCAGGAGCAGCAAGACCCTGGAGGCTGTGGTGCGAGGAGGCAGTCATCATGGTGGTCTGCGGCTGCTTGGCTCACGGGGAAGCGCCGAGGTGAGTGAAGCGGTCAGCCCCACAGAGGAGACGTTCAGCCCGCCGCCAACAGTAGAGCACAGTGGGCTGGAGGGGCCTGGGACCGTAGGGAGCAGAGCAGGCAAAGAACCAATCCTCCGTATCAACCGGGCTGGTCAGTGGTATGTGGAAACAAGCAGCGAGCCGGAGCGGAGTGGCAGTGCTGAGGAGGGACATGGAGTCGTGGATGGAGTCAGGATCAAGACAGAGAGGATGGAGGAGTGGATTGGAGCAGGAGAGCACCATGAGGAAGGGGGGCCTGTGGAGGAGGGGGCCACCGTGATGATTGATACATCTGGACGCAGCACGGTAGTGCCAGGGCCAGCGGGAGCAGTGGGGGCCCGGAGCGTCCAACCGTCCTCCAGCTTCAGTGAGACGGACAGGTGAGTCATTGCAGTGACGTGCCTGTGTAAGCAGCTACTGATGTGAGTACGCGTGCGTTTATGTGTACTAATGTTCGCCAGGTTCAGTCCCACTGGCAGCGTGGTTGTCCTAGCTGAGCGTCAGAGAGCGAAGAGCGAGTCTCCAAACAGGGCGGACGAGCTGCGACAGCCAAACTCCCAGGTAGGAACCTGCAACGTGGACAGGATGAACAAGCTGTACTGACAGACTTGTTAGATGAGCTCCTCTGGTGGAGAAAACTGAGGCTGAACAAGTTTATTTGTGGTACCAGTGTTGATTTTAACACCAGAATTTGATTTAGTTTTAGTCTTTTGACGATGCGTACTAGTTTATCAAATTTTAGTTTTGGTTTTTGTTATTTTTAAACAACATTTTTAGTATTTACTGTGGCTGTATCTCCCTCGTCCTGGTTGTGTACAGTTACCACAGTTACACGTGTTGTTTCCATCTATCGTGAGGTTTGGGGAAAACTATTTTATTCACACAGTGCCGCTCTGCACTGCAGAAGCTGGACTTGCTCACATTTGGACTAAAACTCTCTTCATTGGGTTCAGCCTGAGAGGTGATACTGCTCCTCTCTGTGTTTTCTTTTTTAACACAACACTGTCAGTCGTGGAGATCCAACTCGCCTATGCTATTAACAAACTAGTAAGGTTAGATAAGCTAACATTAGAGTAGAGTGTGCTGTTAGTTCAAACTCTGATGCTGAATGTTTGCCCCCTCAGTCCAGGGGAGTATTGCAAACTCGTATGGGAAAGCTGAGCAGTGTGATCAGCAATCCAGCTGATTCGTCTTGAATACTTACTAGCCTCAACCAGTGCTGATGAAGCAGCAAGAGAGGGTCAGGAAGAGAGATGTAGGTGGACAGCAGCCAACATGCTGCTGCTGGGGACAGTTCAGATGAAGAGAACAACAGCACGATAGCTTAACTATATTTAATTTAAAAAATTATGAAAGCATGACCTGTTTCGTCCAGGAAATGCTAACGCCAGAGACAGAATGTTACTGAATGTAAGACAGTAGTGAAACACATCCAGTGGCTAATTCATCTCCTGAACGAGAGATTTTGGCCAGTGGAGGCAAAAATATCTGTGGTTCCACAGATGCGACAGGTCATTAAGTTACTTCATGTCCATTCGTCTATCTTTTACATTATTGTTTAACCAACCAAAGACCCCTAAAATCTTCTGAATACTACTGGAACCTCATTAAGGACCACTACAACTTCACTAGGGACTTCTACAACCTCCTCATTGACCCCTAGAGCCTCATTCAAATTCTCTAAATAAAGTTCAGTTGGGTGACAGCTGAAAAAAAAAAACTCCAACATGCAGTAAGGTGTTGCATCCAGAGCAGCTTCAGTCATTGTTGGCATAGATTCTCAAGGACCCCTAGAACCTTCTTTGTGGCTTCTAGAGACTCTTCAAGGACACACTTCTGTCAGTGCTCAGAAAGTATTGAGGTTTAAAACCTGATCTAGGAATAAAACTGACCAGATCAGTACCAGAGTTCTAAAGGGCAATCCAGGCATCAGGAACCAGGATAAGTACATACCTAAACCACTGCAGTTTGACAAAGAGGGCCTTGTTCTTTCTGTCTGGGTATAAGTTGTAATATGCTGTCTTGCCTTCCAGGGGGAGGAGCACACAGCATTTGATATGGGTGGCTATGAGGAGTACCTGAGGGAGCAGGTAGGAGACCGCTGGTTCCGCTACAACCCCCGCCTCACCTGCATCTACTGCTGCAAGTCCTTCAACCAGAAAGGCAGCCTGGACCGCCACATGCGCCTGCACATGGGCATCACTCCGTTTGTCTGCCGCATCTGTGGAAAGAAGTACACTCGCAAAGACCAACTGGAGTATCACATCCGCAAGCACACCGGCAACAAGCCCTTTCACTGCCATGTCTGCGGCAAAAGCTTTCCCTTCCAGGCCATCCTCAACCAGCACTTCCGCAAGAACCACCCTGGATGCGCCCCCCAGGAGGCCCATAGTGCCTCCCCTGAGACCACCACCACCTCTGTCACATCCAGGGGTGGTCCAAGCGACGAGGCCTCCCCCAGCCAGGAGGAGCCTGAGGGTGCGGGTGGTGGGAGCAGCAGTGGGGGTGGCCCGTATGGCGAGGGTCCCCAGGCCTCAGTCTCAACCACGGGGCCTGACTGACCCTGAGGGAGGGAGGATGCTAGGGTCAAGATTGGGGTGGGGGCCAACAGACATAGAGGGCCAGTCTGGTCCTGTTGTACCTGAAAGTAACAGGACACTGAACCCGCTGAAGTCTAAGCTGCAACAGAAAGAACACCTCAGAGTCCTAATTGAGATTTTTTTCCGCTTTAAACCGCATCTACCTTCACTAACCTAACTGAACAGATTAAGCTAAAATGAAGAAATGCCACACACTCCAGCAACCTCATGCACCACCAGATGCCGTGATTCTGGTTTGCCTCCATCTAGTTTATGTTACAGATTTCTACTTTTATATTTACAGGTTTTACAGGTTCACAATGCATCTTCACAACAGTCTGTCTGGTGGAAACTTTGCCAAACTACCCAGTGCCAGTTTAACAGTTCAAATCCTTCATATTTGCCTTGAGACAATCTGGAGCAGTCAGGTTAATAATAACAATCCTGCGTGCTCTCTAAGTGCCACACCGGTGTAAAAAGGTTTCATGCACATAAAGGTTCCATGAAAAACTACGACTGTTAAAGTTCCAGTGTGATTGGAGTTTGATCTTTTCCGGTCTTGGTCTCATTACAAAAAAATTTACTTAATTTCCTTTATTGGAAAGCTCAGTACATGACATCACTACAGTTTCACTTGCATAACTTTTCTTACAATGTCAAGGAAAACTAATTGCACCCTGTTCTCTATCTTTACGTTTACTCACGATCCACTTATTAAACCAATGATTAAATTACTGTACCATGTAGAAGCTTGTTACCTTTAGGGATGCAGCTAACAACCATTTTCATTATCAGTAATGTACCTGTTAGTTTCTTGCTTAATCAGTTAGTTTATGAAAAATTCTTTTTTTTTTTTTTTTGTCAGACCAGCAATCTATAACTGAAATATTTGTTTTAGGGTTTGGACTGTTGAGATTAGTGTCTCATAAGATAAAGGAAGGGAGTGAATATTAAGGGATGTTTGACATTTTGGCTACAAATATCACCAAAAAAAGCATAATCTTGATTGAAATAGCCAATTTATTCATAATTATCAACAAATAACCCTATCATCTTTGTCATTTACTCCATCCAGTTTACCTTTGCATTCAGGTGCAAAAACAAAGTATTTCTTTATCCATCTATCCATCTTCGTCCACCTCATCCGAGACCGGGTCACGGGGGCAGTAGCCTGAGCAGAGCCTCCCAGACTTACCTCTCCCCACAGACCTCCTGTAGTTCCTCAGGAGGAACCCCAAGGCGTTCCCAGGCCAGCCGGGAGACACACTCTCTCCAATGTGTCCTGGGTCTTCCCGGAGGCCTTCTCCCGGAGGGACATGCCTCCACAGGGAGGCGTCCAGGGGGCATCCTAAACAGCTGCCCGAGCGACCTCCGAGCTCCTCACGGGTGCCTGAGCTCCACACCCTAAGAGTGCACCCAGCCACTCTCCGGAGGAAACTCATTTCTGCCGCTTGTATCCGTGATCTCATTCTTTTGGTCATGATCCAAAGTTCATGACCATAGGTGAGGGTGGGAACGTAGATCAACCGGTAAATTGGGAGCTGAGTCGTAAGACGAAGCTCCTTCTTCACCACAAGGATGGTAGGTAGCTACCGATATTTAGAGGGAGCAACCTGCCCCCAACCCGGAGAGAGCAATCCACCTTTTTCCGATTCTGAACCATGGTCTCGGATTTGGAGGTGTTAATTCTCATCCCCGCCACTTCACACTCGGCTACAAACCCCTCCAGTACACGCTGCAGGTCTTGAACTGATGAAGCCAACAGAACCACATCATCCACAAAGACCATAGACAAGATTCTTTGGCCACAAAAACAGACACCCTCTGCTCCCTGGCTGTGCCCAGAAATTTTGTCCATAAAAATGATGAACAGAATCGGTGACAAAGGGCAGCCTTGGCCGGGTCCAACATGCCCTGGAAAAAGGTCTGACTTGTATTTCTATTTTTTTTTTTTTTTTTTTTTTTTTTTAAAAAAAAACCCCCCT